TATGAATATGAGGCCCGCATGGCACTATGATAGACACGATATAGAAATGAAAGAAAGTTATAGTGCTTAGAAGGAGGCAATTCCAGCAATTCCCAGTGAGGTGGGAAATTAATTTTTCCAAATTTATTCCTAAGGGTCTTTCTCCCGGAATTGCCTCCTTCTAAGGACTATAACTTTCTTTCATTTCTATATCGTGTTGATCATAGTGCCATACGGTCCTCATATTCATGTTTTCTACCCCTGGATCCATCACTTATACTTTCCTAAATCAGGTGTAATAGCTGGCAAATACAGTTGTACTTGTAGTGAGACTCATTCCGTCCTTCTCAGACCTTTGGCAAAGTACTTAAATCTCTTACATGCTTTTAGATTCAAAGATTTGCCCAAATTCTTTTGGAAGATGACAAAGACATGAATAAGAAGAACAAATACGAGACTTTTAGAGATGAAAGTGAAAAAACCAAGAAGACACTTCTACACTATGCAGCAGAAAGGAACTTCTACCACTTAGCTCGCACCCTGATAGAATACTGTCCTGGTCTTCTGGCACTCAAGACTGCAGCAATTGTATCTGAGAAGAAGCGTGAACTTCTACCTGTGGAAATTGCATTGGACAAGGAAAACGATGAAGCTGCAGCTGTTATGCTCAGGCATATGAGTCATGAAAGGTAAATACTATCCCCCCCCCCCTCCCCCAGGACTACCCTGGTTCCAGAGGCTTGTCTTTCATTCTTTTGCTTATAATGTTATCAAGCCGCGAAGTGGCGAGACGTTTCCGTTAATCGGTTTGGTTTTTTCCCGCCAAGCCTCTGGTCACAAGTGTAGTAAATCCCTCACTTTCATGCTGTATTCAAGCAAACCAATCACACATCGGAGTGTTTTAGCTGTCAAACATGTCAAATAAACGAACCAATAAGAGTTCATCACGGATAACAGATCATATTACTCTGATATGTGATTGGTTTGCTTGAATACAGCATGAAAGTGAGATTTACTACACTGTGACCAGAGGCTTGGCGAAAAAAAACAACAAACCGATTTACGGAAACGTCTCGCCGCTTTGTGGCTCGATCATTACAACATACAAGCCTCTGGAACCAGGGTAGGTAAATACAATACTGTACCCTTAATTTTGCTTTTTTGTCTACATATTGGTCAGTCTGTATGTTTTTTTTTAAAAAGGATTCAAACAACCTTCAAAATGATTCAGGAGTTTTTTTCTAATGCTGGTCCTTAACCAAAGTGAAATTGTACAAGGCATGCCCAAAACACCAGTATATGTTCATCTCTAAATTAACTTTTAAGTGATAATCTTTTGGCTCATAATTGTAAATTAAAATTGTGGACCTAAGGCAAGCCATCAAATTTCATTGTACATTTTTAATTCTTCTTTTTATTTTTTATCTTTAAAGAGTTCAAAGTATGTTTTCTTGGAGACCTGACCCAAATTTGCAGTCACCAAGACCTTCTCAAATGAGTTTTCACAAGATTTTATCGAACCCCAAAATGAAGGTAAGCATGAAAATACAGTATTGGGGCTTTTTCCATAGTAAATATGAAAGGCTCCAACTTTTGAGTTTATAACCTTAATTTACATTGCACTCTATTTTTACTCATCCATGTGGGACATTTATTAATCCATTGACGCTTCTGAGCATGCTCAGTTAACAAAGTCCTTATTTTTATCATCAGAAATCAACTATTGCTATTCTTGATTGTATGGTTAATCCTCATTGGCCGTATCTTCCTGACAAAAAGAGCGACTACCTCTCCATAGAAGAAGAGCAAGGCATCGAATGCGCCTGGGCCACAGTACCGGAGGACCCTCTGGATTACCACTTCTTTTACCACGTCCTTGATAGTGATGATTGTGGCAGACCCCCTAAGATAAAGGACACAACAACCAATAAATTGGTCCCTAATCCTTTCTTCAATAAGAAAGCTCCATCGTGTTTAAATATCATCGCTAATAGTGATAATATAGTAAGTCAAATCTTGTCTTATTTGACAGACTAAAATATCTCGGAGTCATCCGCCTAACTAAACTAAATAGTGGATTTACAAGTTGCGTTCAACATTGTCGCCGGCGTCTTTCAGCGCTTGAATGTCTGAAATGAAAACAAATCTCGTACACAGGGCCCGCACTTTTGCCACCCAGCGGAAGTTGATGTAGTTTCGCTTTGATTTTTCTTCAGCTGATTTTGCTTTGTTTCTCGTCTGTTTTGTTGATTTGTTCGAATTGCCTTTTATCTTTTGATGTGTTTTTGTTTCGCTTCTCTTTGCTTTCTTTTTTCTTCAGATGACTTTTCGCTTGTTTTGTATTGTTTTTTTTAATTATTTTCTTTTGGTTTGTATTTTTTGTTTCACATAAGCTCTGTTCTTGGTTCCTAAATAAGATTTTACAATTTTCATTTGCTAGGATGCTGTCCACCATCCAGTTGTCAGGATGCTGATACGATTGAAGTGGAATGCTTTTGGACAGACATTGCTATCGTAAGATGATTATCAGTGTGTGTAGTAGCGGCTATCAGTATCATTGTTTTACTCAACTAATAGTCTCCTTGGCAGCCTACCCTTTTGTCGGGCTGCTGTCACTCCAAATACAGGAAGCCCGACTTTAGAGTAGGCTTCGAAGGAGACAACTGAATCTATACATAGTAAATAGACCCTGATAAACTCATGAAAACACTGGTAGCTCTCTTGAACTGAACGAAGGAATGTCAGTCAGATAGGAGGAATGCTGCTATTGACCTTACCTGGAACATATCGATACCCATGAGATACAAAAGATAAAAGACTGGCGGCCATGTTGAAGGAATGAATAATAGATACTAATGAGAAATCCTTTGTTGAAGTACTGTACCTTCAAGATAGCCACTGTGATGTAACTTTAAAATGAAGAATATTAGAGTACCCGTCAGTAATCGAACACTAAAATATCAAGACGATTTGCCGTAAATGAAGCTCTGTCATTCGTAAGAAGGCAATAGTATTTCGCGAGTGACTGAGCTATATGCACGGCGCCTCGTCTTGAATATTTTGTGAGCGAGTTCTGAAGTGACCGTAAGTCGGTTGTCAAAGCACTGCATGGCCCATCCCCAATGCTCAGGCTTTGATGTACCAATTTTCATGTCATCTTAATGATCTTTTATACAGAATTCGTGGCATTACATATGTGTTTTTTCTCTTGGTGCTCTCCTTTGCATTGCTCCAAGGATCAACAAGTGTTGATCTCAATGAATACCGCGAGCCCTGGGACAGAGTGAGGGCGATAGCCGAGTTTGCTACTTTTGCGATGGTTTGTTTTTACATATTTGAAGAAATCAACCAGTTTGCAAGGTAAGGTTGTCAATTAAAATAGATGGTCTCCGTAGCTCTTTCACTCAGTGTCCACAGTCAGTTAGTCGTTCAGTCATTCAATCCATCAGTCAGAAACCATTCGTTAAATCAATTATTATTATTATTATATTATATTATTATATATATTATTATTAATCAATCATTAAGTGACATAAGTCAATCAATCAATTAATCAATCAATCACTTAATAAATCAATTACTCAATCCGGCAATCATTCAGTCAATCAGTCGCACAATGAAACAATCAGTTATTTAATCAATAATTCAGCCAATCATTTAATCAATCAATCAGCTAATCGCTACATTGACCCATCAATCATTCAATTTATCATTCAGTAAATTATTCATTCAATCAGTCACTCGCTCAATGAATCATTCCATCAATTATTCAGTCATTAATTATGTCATTCAATCAGTCAATGAATATAGCTATGTCATTAATTCAATCAACCAATCAATTAATCAATCAATAACTGTCAATCATTCAATCATTCATTCAATCAATCAATCAATTGAACAATCGATCACAATGTCAATCATTCATTCAATCAATCAATCAATCAATTGAACAATCGATCACAATGTCAATCATTCTATCAATCATTCAATCAATTAATCATTCTATAACTATGTCAATCATTCAATTAATCAATCAATCAATCAATCAATCAATCAATCAATCAATCAATAACTATGTAAATCATCCATTCAATCATTAACAAGACCTATAACGATGTATTCTTTCCAGAGAGAAACGCATGTACCTAAAGGATAAGTACAATCTCTCTGACTGGATTGGCTTGTTGTTACTACTCGCTATCATCCCTTTACGAGCCATCAACCACGACTCACAGTGGCATGTTGGTTCAGTTGGATATCTCGTCAACTTCTTAAGGATTTTTAAGTTTTCCTGTGTTAACAAGTAAGAGTAAAAACCCTACTAACCACACTACAGTCAAAGCAACCATATCTGTCTTGTACACAACAGAAATCGCATGCACCGAATGCTCCAGTTTCGAATTCTCCAGTGCTCTGTGTTATTAGCCTCATTTGTGTGCACAGTATTCCTAATTTTTATTGTCTTTCTTCACAAATTCCATGTTTTTTTTCGGGCAATCAACGAAACAAAAGAATATGTTGTTTGAATGGTTTTGAGGCTAACACAGAGCCAACCAGAACTCGAAATTGGAGTATTGCCGTATGGCTTTTGCTGAAGGGTCGATTTGTGAGAATGAAGTGTCGCACAGGACACACATCAGTCATTCTACGAACCAGCAAATCTAACACAACTTGTTGCATACTATATTACTCGAAAAGTTGGTCTTTTTTGAACACATTTATATGTTTTAAATCAAGTTGCATCAAGACTTAAAGCAAAATTGTTAACAAGAAGCCCTCTTCGTGTATGAAACATAACATTTATCGTTTAAATTGAACACAAGATACCACATTGTACAGCCAAATACTTCAAGTTGTAAACAAGTTGTTCGCATCACATATCAACTCACTGCAAATCACCCTCGTTCCCAGGCTCTTTATCCTTTCGCTTGTGAAAAAGGGCCTGGGAACGAGGTTGACTGCAAATATATATACCCAAATCAAGTCTTGACCGATTTACACATCATAAAACAAAAAAAAACTATGATTACATTAAATTACAGCAGTCTCATTGACATATGTGAATAACTTGAAAGACAGTGCCAGAGCTATTTATAACTGCCAACTTATCTTGTCTTTTCTAGGACTGCTGGGTTGTACACAAACACTCTGTTTAGGATTGTGGTCAATGATATTCCGCGTTTTTTGTGCACATTTGCGGTGATATTCTTTTCCTTTTGTGGTGCGCTGTTCCTTTCTCTGCGCGCTTCAAGCAGTCAAAGTCTTCTAGGGTAAGTCTACTTTAGGTTTACCCAAATATAGTCTGCGTTGCCAGCCGTTGCCAGCCGCTCCGAGAGAGTTTGAGCCGGAGAAAGCCAGAAGGGAATCCGTTTTTTTTTTCTCGGAGCGGCTAGGAACGACTGGCTACGCAGGCTAATCCAATTTGTGCAAAGTACACTAATTCAAGCACTTGATTTATTTCTTTTTGACAGCGGTTTTGAACAAGTTCTGTTAAGTGGAATTAGAGTATTGGCTGAGGCGCAACCTGTGGCTGAAGAGTACAAAGGATACAAGTAAGGAATTTTCTTACTTAAATAGGGAGTTTTTAAGGGTTGAAATGTCGAAGAACACGAAGAAAAGTGTTAAAAAAATGCAGAGCGTATAACAAATCAATTATTGAATGAAGTTTAATTAGATAGATGGAAAAACGRGTTAAAGTGMCAAAAACTGCACGAAAGATCCATTGAACGAACGAACGACTGACCAACCAACGAGCCAATGACTGAACGAATGAACGAACAAATGTCAAACGAGCGACGAAAAAACGAACGACTGACAAACCGACGAACGAACGACGGACCAACGAAAGAACGAACGACTGACAAACCCACGACTTAAGAACGAACGATTGACGAACGAATGACTGAAGAACGAACGACTGGCCAATCAATAAACCAACGACTAAACGAACAACGAATGAGCGGTTGACGAACGAACGAGTAAGCGAATGAATATATTCAATAAAAATGACCATCTTGTTCTCTTATCATTCATCCCCTTCCATTTCTTCCCAGTTGGTTGTCAATTCTATTACTACTGACCTACATGGGAACTGTGATTGTCATTATGCTCAACATCCTCATCGCACAATTGAGTACAACTTACGCACAGGCAAAGTACAACGCAAAGCTGCAATATGATGTAGATCGTATGCTTCTACTTGCGAGAATGGAGAACTACCCGTTTTTGGTAAGAATATCAAAGTCTTGTTTTCACAAGCAGCGCTAGCAAAGAAAAGTGCGTGCTTATGTTTTGTCAAGTGACTGCGGATGACGGAGCCTCCCCCCCTTGCACTTGCCCTCCACACCCATCACCTCCATCGCCTCCACCTTTTTGGAGAGTACTTGTGCAGGCGTAAACTTACCAGGAAACAATCTATTGGGAAAATCGGTGCGCGCTGTGCTCTCTTAGATATCAGCACCCAACGACTCAAGATTAGTATGAGTTGAGGATCCAACATACTATTTTATAGCTTGTTGAGGTCGCAAGACCCCTTTCTCGCTGTCTTTCTCCTCGCTTTTAATGTTTTGTCCATCGTTCTCTCAGTCTCTCTCCTTATTCTTCCAGTCGTTTTTCTATTTCGCCTGTACTTATCTGTAATCAGCTCAATTTTCTTATGTGTCGTAGAATCTGCGTGTCAAGCACTACAAAGATGGTGATTGGATAAGCGAACTGAATCTTGCCAAAGGTACTTTTAATAGAATTACTTTCAACGGTAACTTAGCACGCCTTGGAACCGGAACAATTTCTCAACTCCTGGCTGCATAGCTGACTTGAGTTATTGTAAGCTGCCTCTCTACCTCCTCCAACGGTTTATATTCTGACATTCCTTCAAAGCACTGCTGCGAGAATTTCAATACAACCACCGTTGATGTTGTGTTAATGTTGTGCGGTCTGAATTGCCCCAGTTTGTAGAACACTTGCTAGAATATATAAGAGAGTTATTTATGCTATAATTTCTTTTAATGTACTTTTTATATTTCGATTCAGAATTATTAGAGTTCACCGAGGAACGTCATTCACTTGAAACCATCGAACAAAAGCTGAACTCGCTGAGAGATTTGATGAGGAAGATCGTGAAAACCATGAAACCTGTTGCAGTAAAGGAACAGTGACCAAACTGTACAGCGGTAATACACCACAGAATCTGAACCGGTTGTTGCTACTA